ATTTATTGCCATACTTGGATTATCTATACTCTAAAAAACTTCATTGTCTACGGGAACTTATAATGAAATGAACGTCTATAAATTATTTTCTAAAAACCATTGTCTCGGCTTCAAGTCAAAATAAGTTGTGAATTCATTTAAAATTTACCAATAATAACCATTTAATTATATCAATGCATGGACGACCCACAGGTTTAGTGTCAACTATTAAACACCAATTAACACCTCCATGCCAGCCCCAGGCATTCATTGTTTTCAAGGTAAGTCCAGGCTGCATCAATTTTATGCTTGATTGGCGTGTATACTTCGCAATCAAATCTTCGAGAGATAGGGAGTAAAATTCAATGAAATATATGTAACGGGACCCAGGTTTTGGTTCCAGAGATAGAGAACTTTGAGAGATAGAAGTTCGAGAGATCAGGAGTAAACTTGCTTAGTTAATATATAGAGGAAAAAATGGACTGGAGGTTTATTTGAGAATCGAGAACTTCGAGAGATCAGAGTTCGAGTCATCGAGAGTCACCTGTAGTTTCAATGAAAGAAAAACACTTAGAGGCATTCCAAATAAATCGTTCATCTTGCATTCACCATTCTTTGCGCTCGCGTTTGCACTCTGTTTGCGTTTTGCATTCATTCACCGCTCACAAATCGTTCACCAAGTTGCGTTCAGTGTTCACACATTGTTCACTCACCATTCGCTCTGCGTTCGTTCACCGTTCAAGAACGTTTTAGGGACTGTACATGTACTGTGACACAGGACCTTGATTTGGTACAACTCCTTACTCATCGACTCTTATGCAAACGCTCTTACCATTGTGTCAGGCTGGTGACATTACGTTATCAGGCAGGTATGAAGAAGTTACAGGTAACACACTAAAGGACTGAAGGGTGTCTTCTACCTATTCCCACTTTTTAAAAATCTCAATTCCACCTATTCCCACTTGCATATAACAATGTTTAGATAGTTTAACAATAATTAGACTAATTACATTCCCTCTTAGATTTACCTGTATTTTGTACATTTTAAGACAGAAAATAATTTTGTGAAAAATATTATCTATTTCCTTCAACAAGAGGCCCATGGGCCTTATAGGTCACCTGAGCATTATGCAACAACTTTCCATTGATTGAATTTGATCCATGTTTTAAGCCAGATGCTATAGCATTTACAATTTGGTCATCATAACTATACACTTAGCAGTTCCTTAGTTTGGTTACTTTATACCCATAGGCAGGGTAGGGGAACAAAAAAATGCATTTCAACTAATCAGTAATATTCAGCAATAAGTAGTGCCCCTACCACACATGAACCCTTGACTCCTAGGCCTAGATGCACACATTGCACTATTTTTGGAAAGGCATCCTTGCTTTTCAAAAATATTTGATTAATACCAAAGAGCACATTTCAAACAATTCATTCATTTTCAGTATATAAGTATAGCCCCCCCCCCTCTATGGTACAACTGACCCTGGGGCCTTGAAATTTACAATTCTTGAAGATTAGGGACTGCTCATAACTACATAGGCAGTTCATCTGCTTAAAACCTAGGAGCAAAGAAGAAGATTTTCAAAGATTTAATGTTTTTTCTCTATATACATGTATAATCAATACAGCCCCGCCCTAACACCAGAATCCCTGACCCTGGGGCTACAAAATTCACAATTTTGGTAGAGGCACTCTTGCTCATCATAATTATGTACTTAGTTAGTTTATTTAAAACCTAGGAGCAGAGAAGAAGATTTTCAAAGAATTCATGTATTTTCACTATATAATCAATACAGCCCCACCCTAACACCAGAACCCCTGACCCTGGGGCCATAAAATTCACAATTTTGGTAGAGACACTCTTGCTCATCATAATTATGTACTTAGTTAGTTTATTTAATACCCAGGAGTAAAGAAGAAGATTTTCAAAGAATTCATGTATTTTCTCTATATAATCAATAGAGCCCCGCCCTAGCACAAGAACCCCTGACCCTGGGGCCATAAAATTCACAATTTTGGTAGAGGCACTCTTGCTCATCATAACTATGTACCTAGTTAGTTTATTTAATATTCAGGAGCAGAGAAGAAGATTTTCAAAGAAATAATGCATTTTCACTATATACTTATTAAGCCCCGCCCTAGCACAAGAACCCCTGACCCCAGGGCCATGAATTTCACAATTTTGGTAAAGGACTCAATGCTGATTACAATCATGCAAACAGTTTGACTGCTTGATGTCCAGGAGTAAAGAAGAAGATTTTTAAAGATTGCATTAATTTTAGTGGTTTTGGCCCCACCCCCTAGGTCCCAGGGGGGCAAGGATCATGAAATTCACAATTTTTGTTCCCCTTCACCCATAGATGCTTTGTGCCAAATTTGGTTGAAATTGGTTCAGTGGTTGCAGAGAAGAAGCTGAAAATGTTCAAAAGTTTACGACCGATTGACGACGAACGACGAACGACGTACGACGTACGACGGACGACGACGGACAAAAACAGATAGCAATAGGTCACCTGAGTGACTCAGGTGACCTAAAAATAGGGATTTAAGAGAGTAACAAAAAAGGTCTTACAAGAAACACACTTTAATAGCTTGATTTTTAGAACAAATGATAAATAGATTTATTGAGGTAAAGATATAGGTGGATTCTAGAATGAATAGATTAATGTGGAAAATATGATTTAATTCCCTGTAAAACCTTTTTTTTCCTTTCAAATATTGGTAAAGATTCTGATTTATTACAGGTAACTCTTGATGGCTCGAACTTCGATCTCTCGAAATTCTTGATCGCTCGAAGTGAGTCTCCTTTCCCTAATTTTCCCCTATATTACTAAGCAAATTTACTCTTGATTTCTCGAACTCTTGATCTCTCAAAACCCTTGATCCCTCGAAGTCCAAATGCAGTCCCGCTATGCATATTCTATTGAAACCTCAATACCTCGAAGTGGCTATGTGTATACTACAAAGTTACATAATAAGCAACTTTACCTGGACATTTAATGGCCTCAGGCAGAAGACGCGGGTCTCATGAAACGGGATCTTTATTCAGGTGACACTTATACTGTAAGGTGATAATTGATTTATAATTAATCTTATGTTGCCTATATGCTATTAAAATAATTATCATAAACTGTATTACGATAATTTAGAAACGCGGTGTCAATGCGAAATTGTCATTGTAGATTACAAGACGAAACACTTAATAAATTTTATTTTTATTTCGAATCAGTGTCAACTGGAATATGAAAATTCAGAAACAGCCTCAATGTCAATATGACGACTTTTGTTGGATAAATACTTATAAAACTTCGTTCAATGCATATGTTTGGAAAAGTCAAATAGCCATGTACCACGCGACGCTGTAAAATGTCGATTTCATATAACGAATGCGTTGTATGATGTCCATAATTATAAAGAATAAATAAATATATACGAACTGACGATGTACATATTTTGCTTTACTCAGTTTAATAATTATTCATCTAAAATACGAAAATATATAATTGTTTTATAAAAACCACATTTAAAAAGTTAGCACAGAGCACTGCATGAAAATCATTACATCCGGTAAGACTAATTTTAAAACCTGTCAAACGAACCCGGAAAATTCCGGACTCTTGAAAACTCGAACAAAGTTTTTCCTCGGTCCCACGGACTGCGAGGTATCGAGAGTTACCTGTATTTTAACAAGAGGCCCATGGGCCACATCGCTCACCTGAGCACTATGGCTAGGAAAAAGTAGAAATTGGTTTATTATTGAAAAGTTTAAATCCAAAAGTAGTCCCATGACCATGCAATCATGGCTTTGCTATTATTGAGAAGAAAATTTTTAAAGAATTTTTCTATATATATGTCTATGTAAACCTTTGATTGGCCATTGTGGCTCTGCCCTACCCCCCGGGGTCATGATTTGAACAAACTTGAATTTACACTACCTGAGGGTGCTTCCACATCAATATGATCAATTATGGCTCTGCTATTTTTGAGAAGATTTTAAAGAATTTTCTTATATATATCTATGTAAAACTCTGATCAGCCATTTTGGTCCCACCCTACCCCAGGGGGTGATGATTTGAACAAATTTGAATCTACACAACCTGAGGATGCTTCCACATAAATACAATCAATTTTGGCTTTGCTATTCTTGAGAAGAAGATTTTTAAAGAATTTTCCTATATATTTCTATGTAAAACTTTGGTCAGCCATTTTGGCCCCGCCCTACCCCTGGGGGTTATGATTTGAACAAACTTGAATCTACACTACCTGAGAATGCTTTAATATAATTATGATCAATTATGGCTTCGCTATTCTTGAGAAGAAGATTTTTAAAGAATTTTCCTATATATTTCTATGTAAAACTTTGGTCAGCCATTTTGGCCCCACCCTACCCCTGGGGGTCATGATTTGAACAAACTTGAATCTACACTACCTGAGGATCTTTCCCCAAAAGTTTCATCTTTCCTGGCACAGTGGTTCTTGAGAAGAAGATTTTTAAGACATACCACCAAATTTTCATTAACTCCCAATTATCTCCCCTTGAATGAGGGCGTGGCCCTTCATTTGAACAAACTTGAATCCCCTTAACCCAAGGACGCTTTGTGGCAAGTTTGGTTGAAATTGGCCCAGCGGTTCTTGAGAAGAAGTTGAAAATGTGAAAAGTTTACAGACAGACAGACGGAGAGACAGACAGATGCTGGACAAAATGTGATCAGAAAAGCTCACTTGAGCCTTTGGCTCAGGTGAGCTAAAAAGCAAATATACCTGTGTTGTCCTCCACAGGTTTCCTTCAATCATTGTTTATACAGTAATTGTATGTTTTCATAGTTGATTATTTGTTGACATAAAATTCCACCTATTCCCACATGAAATCTTACCTTTTTCTACCTGATTTTCAAAAAGTGGGAATAGGTAGAATAAACAGCTGAAGGACATAAATGCTATAATACAATACATTTTATCTTAAGATGGGTGGATAAAAAATTCCATGAAAACTTTAACTTAAAGAGAAAGATACCTGGAGGAAGACTGCCATATATTACAGCCACACTATGTCCAAGCCTCTCCAGCTCCATACATACGTTGTAAATCTTCAGCTTACTGAAGCACACCAAACAGTCCCCAGACTGCACTTCTTGTAGGGATTCTATCAATATCAGAACAGTACTGTTAATATTGAATACTTAAAGTCTTAAAACTGTATAAAGTATTTAATATCATCTCAGTTTAGTTTACTCTTTCAGAATATTTACAAGTAAAAAAACACATATTAAAGTATTTATTATCATCTCATTTTAGTTTACTCTCTAAGAATATTTACAAGTAAAAAAACAAAATTTTGCAACATTTCATAGCATACGTTAACATTTCAGAATCATTTTCTCTTTTGATTACTTGTACAGTAAAACTCGTTTAGTACGAACACGGATATTGTGAATTCACGGGTATAGCGAAGTCATTTTTGATACCAAAATAATAATTTTCATGAATTTCTTATAAGGATATAACGAATTACGGCTATAGCGAAGTAATTTCATAGGCCCCAGTGACTTCGTTATAACTGAGTTTTACTGTATGCATTTTATGTCAAGAGGACGAATCTAATAAACATAAAATGTTAAACCGATTTGTAATCTGTGTCATTGAAAAATTATGTTATCATGACATTTTTTTTCAAAATAATTTTCCCCTTGAAAAGTCATTTCAAGGACAGGTGAACAAATACAAACTTTTATTAAAAATCCTGAAAAAAAAACATACATGCCAACTTTTGAAAATTCCCATGGGGGATTTAGCGCGTGACGACAATTTTCAAAGCTCTAAATTCGCGACATTTTGTCGTAAAATTAAATGATAATGAAATGATCTTTTTTTTAAATTTATAATATTTGATATCACTTATTAATACAACTTAAGGATTAATTTAACACAAAAAAATTAGTTTAAAAAAATTAAAAAAAATTTTTTTTTTCCAAAATTGAAATATTTTTGCTAAAATAAGTGCTTCTCTCATTAAAAACATGTTTTTTTTCTACCAGGACATATACATCATGTAATTTAGTGAAAAACTGAAAATTGTACAACTTTTAAATCATTTTTTTCAAAGGCTAAAAAATATATGAGGTTTTGATACTGTAAAGTCCTGTTTCTGGAAACATTTTTGAGATTTTTTAATTATATTTCAATTAATTAGAGATTCTAATAAGGTATTAAATTTACTGAAATTTATACCACCTATCCAAAGGAGAATTATTTTTTTTTTTACAGTCATGAAATTTGTCAGGCTTGATGGTGCCATGTGGGTATTTCCTTAAGTCATGCACATACCCATAAAATATTACTTTTGGGAGAAGGAAGGGAAAAGAAATTCTAACTGACATACACTTGATTGTTTCATCTTAATTTCATAATATTTTAACTGGCAAACTTTACAATATTTTTCATTATAGGTAGATAAAATCAGCAGCTATGCTTTGTAGTTTTCTACTTTCGTTTTCAAAAAACGATCACTTTGGATTCCGATTTTATAGTTTAATTAGTATTTCATTGTCTTTAATTTATGTTTTTAATAAAATGACTAACAGTTATCACGTTAATCTATGTGTTTCACCTTGCATACCCCTTAAAACGGACAAGATAATCCCCTAATTGCCCCAAGCTATAAGCTACTCGTACCTGGACAACTGCGTGCGTTCATGCGTGAAGTGATTTCCTGTGGCTAATTAGTAATGAACACCTGGTTAAATAAACAGTGAAACTTATCTGTGTGCATTGAATATACAAGTCTGACATTGTTATCCCGATTGTCAAAATTCAGCGGTAGGGAAACTTTTAAAATCTGAAATTTTAAGGTGATTTTTTTTTCAAATCGGGAAATTAGGGCAATTTTTCTCTCCCGATCGGGAAGACGGGATGAAAGGGTAAAATCCGGAGGATCCCACCTAAATCGGGAAAGTTGGCATGTATGTTCTTGATAAATTTTTTTTTTAAATAAATCTTTTGCTTAGAAGAACTTCTTTACTATTTTTATTTTAATGATTTTCCACCCCTTTTTAATCACAAATCACGGGAAAACAAATAGACCAATTATATAGACTTTTATATCTGAAGGTTGAAAATAGTGGTATTTTGATATTTTAGAAAGTTTAAAAGTTTGATTTTGTAGAGAGCATTTTGTGGATTAAGAAAAATTAATTTTTAACATTTAATCAGCAATTCCATTCTATAACTAGCACTGAAGTTTGTTTATCAATTTGCACGCGCTCATCGTATATATACGTCAAATGTTATATTAGGGGAAATGTATTTACACTAGGATACATTGTAATTTATAAAAGCCTAATGCACCAGCTTCCAGTAGCTAAATCAGTCATTTGTATCACTTATGATCAAACTCACAGTTTCTGATTGAGAACATTTTGTCCTTGAGGTTGAAAATCGCTGACAATGATTCCCAACTGTCTTGTATTTTCAATAAACAACTCCAATTGTTGTTCCAATGCCTCAAACTTGTCAGCCTTATCCGCCATCTTGCTTAGTCTTATGTTTCCGGTTGAATGCACGTGAAAATATGCTACGGGATCGCAATTTTCATTTCATTGAATTTGCAGAGTCGGTGTCCTGGTAACACTCGATTGTCACTTCTGTAAAATATTGAGTTCATTTTTTTAAACATACCATGAACAGGGGGAAAATATGTGTGATTGTATCACCATTTTGTACTCAAGACGTGTGAGATGCCTAAATGTGCATAAACTTTGTATTGCGAAATCGCAACCTTCCACTACAAACCTACTTTCGGTTTCACTTTAACAGTCACCTCCAACATGCATTCGTTGAGGATTCTGAAGACTTTAACATACAGCAGTGTTTCGAAGACAGTGTTCATTTCTGCGAGGCTATTATGTGTTGACATTCTGAATTGTAAAAGAAATAATTTGAAATGTTATTCAACCCAAAATCAAGAGAAATCAAGCAAAGAAAGTTCAGAGAAAAGCACCGGTACCGAGTTGGACGTCAAAAGAAAGAGTCCTTATGAGGGCTTATCAGCAGGACAGAAAGGTAATAATGGAGTAGATGGAAGTCCTTTTATTTAAGTAATTTTTTTTCTGATTTACTTGTGTTACCTTTGACTCATGACAGCAGGGACTTGTATTGTGAAAAATTTTGTAGTAGTCTATACTCTCTTTAAATACAAAGCAATGCATGTCAACATGCCCAAAGAAAGAAGGGTCTACTGTATGGTCCCCAGTACAGTATTCTAGCAACATGTACAATGAAGTACAACAATCCTATGATGGCATTATTTGTGGCATGTACAATGTCTCATACCACTTAAAGGTGACAAACAAATCCAGTTTTTGACTCAAGGTCTACAGTCAGGGGTGTGACTGAAATCCATCATTTTTAAAAATGATGGATAATGGTCATTTCTTCTAAGTATATAATGTACACAATTTTCTGATTTTTGTAAATATGACGTCCTTTCATCATATTTCCATTCTCAAGTCAATTTTCCCATCCCATTTACTACAGTAATTAGATATAGTACACTATCCTGCCATAGACCCTTGTGTAGAGAAACATCTTGACAAGTAATTGAAACCAAAATAATTTAGTGCGCCCCGTAAAACTAATGAGATAATTAGTGTCAAACCTAACAATTTGATAAAAAAAGAGAAAAACAGTCATTTTTAATATCAGAGATAACTCTATTTCTAAAATAAATTTCAAAATAGAAATGACTGTTTTTCATCATTTTACTAAAAAAAGATGGATTTCCATCATTATTAAAAATCAATTTAATGACTGAAAATCATCATTTTTAAAAATGATGGATTTCAATCACACCCCTGACTGGTCTATGCTCAGAAAAAAATTATATGGATCAGTTGAAGCCTGAATATATAAATAAAGTTTACAGAATTAGTGTTAAGCTTGTTGAATGTGTTTGTCATATTTTAAACAATCATCTCTCACCAGACTTAAAAGAACCACCAAATTAGCTTGGATTGCAGGGGAAAATACAACTATGTTGTACTAATCAGATGTTGATGTGTCGTATATGAGTGGCATGTTTGTACAATTATTTTTTTTTCATTTAGTTGTTGAGGCAGGCAAAGATTTGACTTATATAGGAGTTATCCTTCTTGGAGGTGGTGCTATTGGTAAGATTGGAGAATCCTTTAATTATAAGTCAATTCTTGTACACAGAACAGAAAGCAATTTTTTCTGATCCCAATTTTAACAGAATGATTTATTAGTATTATCTGTGAACTGTGTAACTTTGACCTTTTTTTACTGTCATTTTTTCAGGTTATGTCCTCTATAACTTATACCAGGAACTGTGTGGTACGGATGGAGCGACAAGTGTGTACAACGCGGCAGCAGACATCTGCATAAAAGATGACAGGGTTAGTATTACTGATACGGTGATACCTGGCAGTTAGTACTATGATACTAGATGTTAGGGTTTCAGTTGTTGACAAATGTGTATCAGAGATTTCACATCTCTTTTAATGGAGCACTTTCAGAAATGGATGACTCAGACAGTAGTCATTTTTTTGTGTTGGACTTGTACGTAATAGACACTATAATTGATAGGAATGCAAAATAAAACAGATCTATAGATTCGTGTTGTCTCTTTGTTCCACCCTGTGTTTTGTGATCACAATATGAAAAAAAAACAGTTGTAAATGGTCATGATTCTAACCCTTAATTGACATTCCGCTTACATGGGATGTTTTAGTCTACCTCTTAAAACATGTATGTTTGATGCTACTCCTACAAGTAAGAGGCTCGGTATCTCGCTGTCAACCTCTAGCATGCTGGAGTGATGTGACCCAGAATGTCTTTTATAACAGAGTACTACCTTTCAGGTGATCAATGCTATGGGAGAGCCCATTAAGGTATTTGGAATGACAGACAGAAGAGGCCGGAGGAAGCATGTAAGGTAACTCATCCTTTGGCTTACAAAAGAGCACTTAACATTACTGGGAACATACTTTTTTATGGGGTCACAGTTTCTGTTCAATGTGCAGGTATAAACACTGATTTCTTGGATTTATACCACCGTATGGCTTTTCTATGCTAGGACAAATTTTTAGGACATAGCTAAAATACCATATGGAAAATGTTCTTTTACAT